CGGATTAAAGCCCAACAACGCGTCGACACTGGCCGCTACAAACTTCGTTGTCGGGACGTCCACTTTCAGCCCGGAGACCGGGTGTGGGTCGAAACTCCGATTCGCCGCCGTAGTCTCAGCGAGAAACTCCTGAAATGGTATTTCGGACCCTACAAGGTACTTCGTCGACTTGGAGATCTCAACTACGATGTGATGCCCGACGGAACAAGATCATCACGCCGCCCATTACGACCAGAAGTTGTCACGTGCGCCTGAAGCCGTACTACGCTCGATAGGACCGTAAACCTTATGTGTTCCAAATGACTGTTTAGTTTACCGCTCTTTTTATTTGCATTATTTGCAGTTGCATCGGGGCAATGAACTTCTTAAAGGCGGGAGTAAAACCGCGCGCGCACCTGGCCAAGTAGGCAGCGCGCGCGTGGACAAACAGTTATTTTCCCTGCCTCGCACGCGAAAAGCCAGGGTTCGATTCCCGGGAGTGATGCATCTTTTGTTTATTCCTGCAATTTAGTGTTCTGTTAATTTGAGAATCCTGTGCCTGTTCGAGGTCCGAAGGTTCTAAACCGAAGCTCTACGCCGATCATTCCAGAAGCCCACGCGCGTACGTAAAGGGCTTCGCCTGGGAGCCGAAGTCAGCGTCGCCTCAGCGTTCGATCCTGCTGTCTCGCCGACCTCGACCCCCGCAACGATCTGTTGTTATTTTCTTTCTTTTTGTTTTGGGCAGAAGTTCTACCCATCAAACGTTTACTTTCCTCAGTTATTCTTTGTTTCATTACCTCTTCGTGACAATATTTTGGCGGAGCGCCAAAAATGGCCCACGTTGATAGAGGGCGCAATCGTCGGCGCGAATCCCGCTAAGTAACCCACTAACTGATATCGCAGTATTAATCTTAAACTGACACACTTACTAGCCCGCGAAAGGGACGGTACAGACGCAACAGTATAGACTTCTTACGAAAAACTGCACTCATCTGGCAGCTGTGAAATCCCTTCACAATTGCTGACTAAAACCGGAACCTCACAAGGTACTTTATGCGTTTGGTTGGATTAGGAGAAAAAAACTTACCCAGAGAAAAATGTGATGCACAATGACTTCGCACTTTCGTGATTTTTTTTATTTGTTCGTTGACTCCTAGCGTTGGCAACGCTCCGACTTTCGCTATTTTACGAAATAACTCTCGCGTTCCAAGATGTCAATTTTTCCGTCATTGTGCAGCGCTACCAACCGACCTTCTGATAATCGGCACGTGACTTCCAAAACGGTTTTATAGTTCATATGAATAGCTGTTTTTTTCGCACGAAAAGCATAAAATTACAGATGTGATTTGGACCTTTCATGATCTTGCCAGAGCTGTAAATTTTCTGCTGAGGACAAGGACGGCTCCTTGGCTTTTAGCTACTTTTACTTTGAGGTTTTCGACGAGCATACACTATTGCAAGCTCAGCTATCCTGTCTTCAATGTACCACAGAACGGTTTTTCAATAGCTTCCCCAATGGACTTCAGGTATTTAGACACACAAAAAAAAGTGACCATGGCCATGGCATGGGCTGAGATGAAAGGCAATTCCCGACTTGCCACACGGTTGTATCCTGCTCGTTTCCCCCGGTTTGTCGGGTTCCCGGACATTCCCAGTTTGCGAGCGTCTTCAGCTTCAGAAGACAGGTAATCTACGTCACAGAAAGCGCTGAGAGGCCGTTTTCGTAAGTTTAAATTATGCTATAGGCGTCCTTGCCAACGTGAAACTCCACTTGCACGCCAGCACCAGAGAGATTTCACGTGAATACGGCAACAGCATCATGCACTTCCTTCTGGAATCTGCTACGGAAGCATAACCTCCATCCGTATCATGTGTTTCTTCACCAGGACCTTACTGAAGCGGACTTTAAAAAACGGATTGAGTTATGCAGCTGGGCTCCGATTAAAGCGGATAAATACAAAGGCTTTCTCAACAAAAAAATTTGGACCCATGGAGCATATTTCTACTCCGACAGAGCTGTGAATCTTCATAATGCGCATCACAGGTCAAACCACAACCCTAATTGGTTAAGAGAAAACAACAATGAGCTTTTCTCGGTCTACCACAGTCTCGTGCGGCATCCTGGGCAACACGATTATTGGACCTTACTTTCTGAAAGGCAATTTTACCGGCAGAATGTACACAGTGGATCTCATTCATTAATTCATCGATGACTTCGCCTGCGACCTGTCACTGCCAGATCTGCGACAGATGTCGTTTCTGAACGATGGAGCACCACCGCATCTTTATTCTGGTGCTAGAACTTGGCTTGAAAACTTTCCAGATAGGTAGACCGGACGAGCAGGACCCATGTTGTCGCCTCCCAGTTTGCCCGATTTGGCACCACTTCTCTTCTTTCTTTGATTTCCAGAATTTCGGAAGTGTTCTGCAGTGACCACGAGGCGGGGTTAGTTCGTGTACAATAAATAACATTGCATACGACGTTCAGGCAGCCACACCTACAACAGGGGACGCATCATCCATACACATGCAGTTTCGTCGTTCGATGGATTTCAAACTTGGGCGCGCGATTTTCGAAGTGTTCTTCAATTACAACAAAGCAGTCCAAGTTTGTGTCCATTAAAATTGGTTAACCGGGTCACGAAGTGTGCCCCACGTGATACACCCTCATTGCTTCCAAAACGCTATGACATTTTAGTCGGGTCAGATACTCGGTTTAATACGATATGTCTAAGCGAACTTTTTGGTGCCCGATTGCACCTTTACAGTTCATTCAGTTAATCTGCTGCGAAATGACATCTTAGCGGCTCCGACGTCACACCTCAGCTTTCTGAACGTTTCACCTTACTGGTTGCGTAAACATTCTGAATTCTTTTTTTTTTTCTTTTTTTTTGCAGCGGAGTAGTTTTCCCAGTTTCGTGTCCGGTACCAAACAAATGTCGATACAAAACTACTAAAAACTAAAAAAATCTGGATAGCTGCCACCATCTATGAGCAACAGCGGCAACCAGACAACCAGTCTGGTTGCCGCCGTCGCTCATAGATGGCGGTAACGTTTCCAGCTATCATAAAATAATGAATAGCTGGGCGAGTTCGTGGGAATTCATCGTAGGAAACAGCGCACAAAACAGACGAAGACGAAGAAGAAACACATAAGACGAGCGTACAGCTTCGCTGATCTTCCTTCTTGACCAGAATAGAAAAACTGAAAGTTTTTTTTTTGTTTGTTTCACCGGAGTAGGCGTTGTTCATTACACAGTCGAGAGCTACTGCACATGCTCAAGACGCGCTCCACCACCCAGTAGAAAAAAAAGAAAAAAAAAAAAAAACGGGGCAGCGCACAAAAAGCGATTACGAGAGTGGTCTGTTCAAGTTTTCTGTGTGGCCGTATTTCAGGAGAAGACTATTCCCCAAACCTCCAGTATGGCCCTCAAGCATAGATAGTGAGAAAACCGGGGAATAAATATCAGGCCCTATGGCACTTCCGCTGCCAATCCTAGTTGGAACACTCGCACGACGGGCTGCACTGCGTTTTGCCTTAATGTAGACCGCAGCAATCTTTACCAGCCTTCCCAAATAATCCGACGCTAAGAAAGTCTCACGAGACTACACGTACCACGCGTCATGGCGCACCTTCCCAAAGGTCACGTGAACCTCACACAGCATTGGATTGACTTTGACGGTTTGTAGTGTCCTGCAGCGGCCATCGATGGTGTTCGTCCTGTTTCTGTAGGTGTTCCGTCATCACAAAAACCAATCATTTACAGAGAGCGCCTAGTTACTCAATAACTTCGATTTCGATTTGTCTTTTGGGGTTGTACGTGTTCGTTCCTTCCACTGGGCTTGGACACATGATGAAACGAACTGTAGCCAGCAGCACGGTGACAGTGGCCGCTAACCAAAATAGGTGGGACCGAGTCTTTACTGTCATACTGTCATCAGAAATTCACGCAGATATTCTGTACCAAGCTTGACTACGAGCAATGAGAGCGAGCATTGAGAGGCATAACAGGCAGGTCATCTCTCTTAGCCTGACAACCTACATATTATAGATACATTGCTGCTGCGACTCGGCCATCCTGTATATGTTGGAGGAGCGGGTAATCGTGTCGCTATAGCTGCTTCGAACTTTGCGAGATAAATTGATGAATAGACAGTTTACTCCAGTGCCTGTCATCAGCCGAGAGATCTAAAAGACAGTGCACTTCGTCAAATTAGACAAAGTCACTGTCTTTGCCAAAGGCAGAGTAAGAAGAAAAGTAAAATAAGCGTGAAATAAGTGAAATCGAACAAATAAAGTAAGATAAGGCAAAAGTGTCTGTCAGACATATAATGCTTTAGTGGTACAATGCATAAACACTATAGAAGAAACACGGTTGTCAAAAGCGCAGTAAAAAATAATTAGGTAAAAATGTCGTGTTCCAGATTTTTAAAGTTTGTCTCTTGCAACTATGTTATTGGACACTTGACGTGCGTATCTGTATAAAAAGTGTGCAGACATTTATGTGTTTCTCAGATTGGACTCTGAAACACAGCGATGTCAATAGCTCATCACAGTCAAGTGTACCGCGTACAACATTGCGTAAAAATGTCATGCCACGTGCAAGCCTCCTATCATGAAGGGTACTACGTCGAACCCGTTTATAACGAACTCCATCGGACACGCATTTTAGTTCGATATATCAAGTAGTTTGTTACAGCAAATATCGCTATTTCGTGAGGACAGCAAAAGCGAGAGAGATGAAAGGAAACCGCGCGGAATAGCGGCGAAGGCTGCCGAGCGTAGCGAGCCTCACGCCGGCGCTCAGAGCCGTGTTATCGCGAGGCAGCTTTCATGATGGAACATATGTATTCATATTTCTATCAATAAATTTCAATATTGAAACATATCATCTAAGAAATCCCGAAAATTTCTAGGTAACAGAAAATAAATGAACACGATAATTCCGTAAAATTGAGAAGGAAAAAAAAGTCGTGGCATAAACGACAGAGAGAAGTCTTTATTACCTGTTCTTTTGATATTACCGACAGAAGCTGGTAATTTTTGCCTGCGTCTTCGCTTTTACTGCGTCCTTCAAAATTTCGTCCTCGACGCGAGATAGCTGGTTTACCAGAATTAGTCCACCTCCCTGAATCTGAAAACAGTAGCGACGGAGCACTTCCGTCGCTGCAAGCGCCTCGTGAAGCGTCGGGCAAGGTGCCTCTGGGTCCTCTGCTTCCTCGACGTCGGCGTCGTTTGCTGAAGCCGCCACGACCTCGGCGACAATTTCGTTGTCTGAAGGACTGCTGGTCACTGCGACATCATCATCCACTCCGAGAAAATCTTCCAGCTCCACGCCATCCGGGACCCCGTCGGGAAGACGGCCGAGGTCTCTCCACATCTCGTTTAAGTCGTCATCCGTAACGTCGATTGCCTCTTCGGTACTTGCTCTGTCGTTATCCAGGTACAGTCCCGCGTGGCGAAAACAATTCTTAATTGTGTTAGGCGCGATGTCGCTCCAAGCACGGCTAAGCATTTCAATAGCACCCAACAAATCAATCTTCAGTTCTTTTCCCACATGCAGCTTGGTGAGCAGCTGCTCCACTACACGCTTCCTGTAACCTTGCTTGAAGGCACGGATGATGCCTTGATCTAGCGGCTGCAGCACCGATGTCGCATTAGGGGGCAGGAAACGAATCTGAATGTTTTTTAGCGTGGCACCAGAGTGATGCGCGGAGCAATTGTCGAGCAAGAGGCAAATCTTGCGGCCACTCTCGGACAACTTCTCATCCCAGTCGCGCAGCCAGTCCTCGAACAACACCCTTGTCATCCAGGCCTTTCCATTTGAAGTGTATTTCACTGGAAGAGACCGACACCCCCGTAGGCACATAGGGGCCTTGCTCTTGCCGATGATCAGTGGCGTAAGCTTGCAGCTCCCGTCCATATTCGTGGTGAGGAGCACCGTAATTCTAGCTTTGTTCAGCTTGCCGCCATGCCACTTCTCGCCTTGTCGTGCCAAGGTCCGACTGGGTAGAAGCTGCCAAAACAGTGCGGTTTCGTCGGTATTATAAATATCGCAGGGCCTGTACTGCTCCGTAATTGCTGGCCAGTTTTCGGCGATCCACTTCTTGACGCTTTCATTGTCGACTGCTCGACTCTCGCCGGCGACAACTTTGCCGACGATGTCGTAACGTTCCTTGAACCGTTGAAGCCATCCGGATCCGCCACTAAAAGCTTGAACGTCTAGCAAAAAGGCAAAGTCTTTTGCTTTCTGCTGTAACATGGGGCCCGAAACTGGAAGGTTTCGAGCGCGAATATCCAAAAACCACGCGTACAGCGCCTTTTCCACTCTGTCAAAGGCAGGCGCCCGAATGCGCTTTCCGTCGGCGTTCGGTCGATCTCGGGCCTTTTGCAGGATCGCTGGCTTGTTTTTCAGTATCGTACTCAGCGTGCTTCTGGCGATCTTGAAGGATGCGGCGACTTCTGACTTCTCGCCGCGTTCAACGCGCCGGATTATTTCCACCTTGGTAGAGAACGGCAACGATGAACGCACCTTGGTCGCCATCTCTTGCGGGAACAGGAAGGACACAAAGAACAACGAGCCTCCTCGGCAAAACGCTAGGAACAAGAGAGCCATGTCCGGCCTGGTACGGCTGCAGGATGACGTCATCAGAACGTCATTGCACGCTTGCTCTATCATTGGAAAGCGCGCTTCCGCGGGGGCCGGTTGCGGGCGTTCGCAGTCGGTGTTGTGACTCATCTTTTCAAGGGTCATCGTGTTTTTCTTGGTTTTCTCGTCCTCTGTCGCTCCGTGCATGGCAGGGAAGCCAGCGCGCTTCCGCGGGGGTCGGTTGCGGGCGTTCGCAGTCGGTTTTGTGACTCATCTCCTCAAGGGCCATCGTGTTTTTCTTGGTTTTCTCTTGTCCTCTGTCACTCTGTGCATTGCAGGGAAGCCCGCGCGTCTCCACGGGGGCGGTAGCGGGCGCTCGCAGTTCGATATATCCGATGTGTGGTTAGTTATAGAAAGTATATTTCTCATAAATATTGATCTTAAATTTTCGTGTGTTCGATAAAGACCATAATTCGTTCTAACCGGATTCGTTATAAACAGGTTCGACTGTATAAAGGCCAGGGTCTTTGAAAACGTAACTGTAGCTTTAAAAATGGCGGCGATCAATGTGTCTATCGTACACAATACGAATAAACTTCCGCTGGATATTTTCAATTACATTGTTATAGCATAAAGGAACAGAGTTCCAAATTACATGTGCTAACTCTAAACGCTGCCGGACAAGAGAACAACAAAAGAGAGCGAATGCAGTGTGCTCTGCGAATTCGCATTGTTAGCCGTGTTGCAGCTCCAAGCCATCGTAGTGCCTGACTGGCAATGTTGAACACATGCTGGGGAAAATCCAGCCTGGAGTGCCCTTGAACACCAAGGTCCCGTACAAGATACACGCGCTCTATTTGACTGCCAGAGACAATATAGTTGAACACGATGCACTCTTGTATTTTTCTCATTGAAAATACCAAGTTTTTCTTGAGATTTATTAGCAGTCTATTTATTTTGCACCACTGCTCAACAGAACATATGTAATTTTGTAACACAAAGCAGTCCTGCACGTTCTCAGTTTTTCTGAACAGTATCAAGTCACCGGCGTACAATAACGCTTTGAAAATGTGCTCCTGCGACGACAAATCATTAATGAATACTAAAAACAACAACGGCCATGGTTCGAGCCATGGGCACACCTGATAGTGGTGTGGGCGGCTGAGACATACAATCTGAGAAACACTAACTCGACACTGGCGATTTTCCAAGTAACTTGGAAACCATGAACAGTAAGTCCTTCATAAGCCATACTTACTCAGTTTGGACAAAAGCATGTAATGTGAAACCTTTGACATAGAAAATATAATAGTGTCTACTTGACCACGGCTGTGTACTAAAGACGCGCAGAGCCCGAGAAAAACACTCGTATTTCTCTCAATAGATCTGCCTTTCACGAAGCCGCCCTGCATTGGTGTTTTTTTTTTGTTTTTTTTTAAATAAAAATGTAGACTGTGGTGGACTAGTTTACGCTCGCAGGTGTGTGACACAGAGAGACGGAACACGAAGACAATGTGGTTGGATAGGATAAATATGATTAAAGATTTAAGACATTATATACAGATTATTACAAAAACCGCACAAACGAATGTCACTGACAGTATGAAACAAGAGTGTTACAGGCCTTGCCGGGGAGCGATGCGACAGTGTTCGAAGCCTGGCGAGCGTTGCAGCGATGGCTTGGTTGGATGTCTCAACCCGTCTGTTGACGTGTGGCTAGGGGGCGGCGTCTTCGTAGTCGGGTCTTGCGTGTAGCTGCAAGACTCTGTCGACCTGTCGACGGACGACCTTGCGTAAAGTTGCAAGGCACAGCCCGCCGGCCTGATGCTGTCCCGTCGAGTTCCACACTTCTTCTTCTTCGACCTGCTTCTTTTTCTTCTCCCTCAGTGAAGGCTTTCTTTCTTGCCCGTGGAAATCACCACGCTCACCCCAAATCACCACATAGACTTTTATTGATGACATTTCCGAAAAGATTTGAAAATCCGCACAAAGGTGACACTGAACAAAACTTATTTACATCACACGGATCTCTAGATTTGAATATGGAAACCACCACAGACATTTTCCACCGAGAAGGAAACACAGCTCAAATCATGCCCCACGCCTTCTGATGGCGGACATTTGTCCTCACTATTTGTATGCAGCGGGCAGGGTGCATTACCGCCGGTCAAAGAGCATTCCCAAGATCAGCTAACCGCGAAATCGGCCCAACTGCTTCGGTGCGCAGGAGAGGCTTTTTCGGTGAGAAGCGACCAAGAGGAATAGCCAACCCGCCCACCGGCCTGGGTGGCTCAAACCGCCAGCTAATCGATCCCAACCAAAGTGAGGAAGAGCAGCTCTCACTTGAGCCTTGCTTGACTGCTACAGTCGTGTCTCCCCTATATAGTGGCACCGTTTAAAGTATAACTAGGTGAAATTTGTCTCCCTCACTCCGTTATTTTATACTGTTGTACATATATATTTACACATATATATATAGAAAGAGAGAGAGAGAAAGAAAGAGAAAGAGAGTTGAATCTCGTTAATTCGAACTCGAGGGGAACTGAAAATTTGTTTGAATAAAGCAAAGCTTGAATTAACGAGATTCGACTGTCTATATATATATATATACAACGGGCATGGTGGTGGGAGGCCGAAGGCGTGGGTATATGTATATATATACAGGGTGTTTCAGAAAACGCAGGCCAAATCGCTTTTGCGAAAACTACTCATCGCAACGAAAAAAGGCTTGTGGCGTTTTAGTCCTGGGCCAGGGGCCCATTTAGAAAAATTATTGAAGTCTGAGATAATTAAGTTGTTAATTAGTTTTGCGTAATTAACTTTTTTAATATTCTGTTTAAGGGCATGGTTTAAATTAGAAAATTGCTAAGCATTATCGAAAAACACTAAATCAACAAATTGCAGACCGATAGAAGGCACGCGAAGCATTTTCCGGCTTTCTGAAAAAGCGCAAAAGATCGAAGGGTTTTTTAAGTTTCGGTTTGCTATCGGAGCGCATCTCGGCCCTGGCGGCACCGCTACCCCGTGGAGAGATGGTGCAACCAGCCTCTGCTGCGTCGCGCGATGACAGCGCAGCAGAGGCTGGTTGCACTATCTTTCCACGGGGCACGGTGCCGCCGGGGCTGAGATGCGCTCCGATAGCAAACCGAAACTTAGAAACCTGTCGATTTTTTGCGGTTTTTCAGAAAGCCGTAAAATGCTTCGCGTGCTTTCTGTCGCTCTGCAATTTCTTGATTTAGTGTTTTCCGATAATGTTGAGGAAATTTCTAATTTAAACAATGCCATTAAGCACAATATTAAAAAAATTAATTACGTAAAACTAATTAACAACTTAGTTATCTCGGACTTTAATCCTTTTTCTAAATGGGCGCCTGGCCCAGGACCAAAACGCCACAAGTATTTTTTCGTTGCGATTAGTAGTTTTCCCAGGAGCGATTTGGCCTGCGTTCTCTGAAACACCATATAAATATATATATATATATATATATATATATATATATATATATATATATATATATATATATATATATATATATAAAGTAATGGAGTCGCACTTGGAAACGTTGTTGGAGTTTTAAAGCTTTTAGTGAGTCGAAGCTTCGGCCTGAGAAAGGCCTTCTTCAAGACTGGTTGCCAAAATCGGTTACCGAGCTGTTTTCGGTTTCCACACCTGGATCGCGTCACGTGTCAGATCACGTGTAAAAATGCCCAAGTAAAAAACGCTGCTATACTCCGTTTCACTCCACGCCCGGCCGCAGCAGACGCCGTCAGCCATCGGAGCCAACCAAAGGCCGCGTCAGTTTTCGCTACCCCAGGAACGGAGAGCCGTCACGTACGAAAGGCGCAGTCACGTTCACAGAGTTGGATCGGCCCAGATGGCCAGCAACGCACGTCGCAGAAAAACGCAAAGCCGAGCAAAGCACAGTCAAAAAAAAAAAAAAAAAAATATGCGCACGCAGTAAATCAACGCCAAAGCGCATAGACGAAACCCTGCTTGGAAAAAAAAAAACGAAATAAGCGCACACAGTAAAGCAACACCGACACGTATAGACAACCCCCTGCATTTAAAAAAGGAGTGACAAAAGCGCACATATTAAATCAAGCCCACGCTCGGCCAAAGCGCATAAACAAATCCGCAGGATCAAAAAAAAAAAAAAAAAAGAAAGAAAGAAAATAGAAAAAAAACACACGGAAATTTAACAGTGTTAACCACAGTCCCAAAACATTCAAAAAGGAGCAAGAGGTGAAAAATGTCTGTTGAAGGTCATGACCTGTTGACTCATCAACAGGTAATACAGAAAGACACACGGAAAAATTCAAGGGTTGTACTAATCGGATTGAATTAGCTACAGTCACTCCGCTACAGGGCGATCAAGGTAGGTTGCATGCATAGACGACATTATACCGGGATCTGCATTAATACCGGCCCGGATTGAATTAAATTGGTAAATAAGATACGATTCTCTCTGCTCGCTATCACGGTTGCTTTTGAAATTGTATTGTAAAAATGCAACGTCCAGTTTGTCAAACGTGTGTTTTAAAATAGGGAAGTTACGTGAATCGAGGCAGGTAAGTCCTCGAAATCTTTCTTCCACGATTCCCTGTCAGAGATATCACAAACGCGTGTGACTGAATTGGCCCGTCTTCTAAAAGCTTCGCCTTCTCTGGAAACTTACGGAAGTTGTACGCGGTCATGAACAGGAGGAACAAAGCATCGATCTTCAAACTTCCCTCAATAAACTTTGTATGCCACTGCGCTGACGGCAAGCAAACGCGAAAGCCGTCGGTGACGAGAAGAATTCGGCTAGTTTACGGTTTTCCTTGAGGTGGTGGACCATAATTAAACATGAAATGCACGCATGCTCATTTCCATGTACTACTCTTCCGTGTGAAAGGCTACACAGCTGCTCTAAAGCATGGCCGATGTACTTTTTAACCCGACCAATGCTTAATTCGCAAGTCTGTCATTTTGTATTCTAAACCCTGAGAAGCAAGAAGAATGGGCTAGAGCCATCCCCGTGCAAGGC